CCGGCCCGCTTCGATTCTGGCTCCGTGCCAGTGCGGCCCGATTTGGTGTGCAACCCGATTCGATGCCGTGATTTTGGAGGGAGGGGGTCGGACGCGGCTAGGCCGATGGCACGTCCGCTCCAGAGAATTTTTTGGGGCGCTTTCTCAGAGCGTGCCGGAGAACGCTCCGAGAATGGCTGCGGCGCCCGATGCATTTTTTTCAGAGCCGCCAGATGTCACAGAGATGCTCGACGGATCCTTACCCGAAGTTGTCCTCGTCCCGGCTTCGTCTGGTGGGGAAAAGGGGGAAGGGAAGGGGGGGGGATACGAAATCTGCTGCAGGCACCTGGTTTCGGCCCCGCCGCGGGGCCCATTCCTCGATGCGTGGGCGCCTCCCCGCGCCTGGGGGCGCCAGAGAACTGGCTGCGTGAGCTGATTATCTGCCCGACCCTTTGCCATCCTACCCTTTCGGGAGCCATGTCGCGGGACCTTGCCGATGCGATTTTAGTCATGTTCATGGTCCATGTCGGCCGTCGACGATTTGCAAGGATGATCCACGAGTTGACCGCCGACCATCGACAGAAACAGGGGGGCCATGACCAAGATGTTGTGGGAACTTGTCGATGCGTCATGGTCCATGTCGGCCGTCGACGATTTGATTTGCAAGGATGATCCACGAATTGATGCTGACCAAGATGGACGGTGACCAAGATCGACACGATGCCTCCGCGTTCACTCTTGGTCGCGGTCCCCGTTTTCTCCCCGAGGGGAGCCCAGGTCAGGCATAGCTATTTGCGAAGCGTCCTGGCTTGCCTACAGGCCCCTCACAGAGTGTTCTGAGCGCCTCTTGTGGTTCGCACGGGAAGTTCTTAGAACATGTCTGGTTGAGACCATCTTGTTTCAACCACTCGGTTGCATGCCATAAGAGCAGTGTCTTTGTGGTCGGAACGTTACTTGGTACTCGGGACAAGTCGTGGCAGGCCTCCTACAGGAGTGTCGGCAAGGTCGGTCCCTGCTAAATTAGGGGGGGGGAGTAGGACGGGGCAGGGCTTCTCAGAAGGCGGCGGGGCTTCGCAGCAGTCCCCCAGCTTTCCGAGAAGCAGTATCTGTCCTCGGAGGAGGTTCAGAAAACTTCAGGAGGGGAAAAAACACAGACACCATTCATCGTCCACTCCCAGGAAAATATGAGAAAATATGGGAAGTGGGGGGGAAGACAATTATCCCGGCAGGGCAACCTAACAGCGATGTGTAGAAGCATATCTCAAAGCATTCCCCTTAAGATTCAGATGAAAATCCAACTGTAGAATTCTGCTGTTCTCGCAGTCGTAGTCGCATTCGCGATGACAGTCGCAGCGGCAACGGCAGTCGCAGTCACAGCCTCAACCTCAGCCTGCCTCAGCCTCAGCCTCAGCCTGCCTCAGCCTCAGCCTGCCTCAGCCTCAGCCTCAGCCTGCTTCAGCCTCAGCCTCAGTCTGCCTTCAGCCTCGGCCTCAGCCTCAGCCTGCCTCAGCCTCAGCCTGCATCAGCCTCAGCCTCAGCCTCAGCCTGCCTCAGCATCAGCCTGCCAGCCAGCCTCAGCCTCAGCCTGCCTCAGCCTCAGCCTCAGTCTGCTTCAGCCTCAGCCTCAGTCTGCCTTCAGCCTCGGCCTCAGCCTCAGCCTGCCTCAGCCTCAGCCTGCCTCGGCCGCAGCATCAGCCTGCCTCAGCATTCAAAATGTGGCCCAGGAATGGAGTTCTGGGAACTAGAAGAACACGAAGTGGCCTACAGTTGGCTCCGGGCATTCAAAATCATGCCCAGGAATGGAGTTCTGGGAACTCGAAGAGCACGAAGTGGCCTACAGTTGGCTCCGGGCATCCAAAATGTGGCCCGGGAATGGAGTTCTGGGAAGTCGAAGAGCACGAAGTGGCCTACAGTTGGCTCCGGGCATCCAAAATGTGGCCCGGGAATGGAGTTCTGGGAAGTCGAAGAGCACGAAGTGGCCTACAGTTGGCTCCGGGCATTCAGAATGTGGCCCGGGAATGGAGCTCTGGGAGGTCGAAGAGCACGAAGTGTGTGTGACTGTTTGCGAAAAACGAGTGCGGCGGCAGCCGCGGCGGCAGCCTGTCCGGGTCCCGCCCAGACCCCCCTGAGGAGTCATGATGCTCTCTTTTGAGACCACTAGCAACCTATCAGCAAGAGCTGTTGGGTAAAAATCCAGAAAGTATGAGAAAAGATGGGGAATATTTTTATCTGTGTGCATTTCTTTGTGTGTCCTGGGGCCTCCTCAGAGAGGCCGTCTCTGCCCTCAGAGAAAGCGCAGAGAAAACTGCTCAGAAGGCCGGAGGCCTTGCGAGCCATCTCGGCAGGCCCGCCGCCTCTACACGCATCCCCCTGGGGGCCCGCCGCCGACGAGGCGAGAGGCAAGCGGACGTGCCCAGACACCCGTGAAAACATCCAGACCCTGACCTTCCAGAGAGCTATTTTTTAGCACTGGAGACCTAAAAACCTAAAAAGCCGAGCGAGACGGCCTAAAACCAAGACG